AATGTATATGAAAGTATATACGGTAGGTACATATAAAATAATTTTAAAACTTTTGTCTGTCTGTTTGTTCCGAGTAATCTCCGAAACGGCTGGACTGGAGCTGAGGTTATATTGAGCTACTTTTATTTCAGAGAAAGAATTATGATTCCACTCAAAAAAATTAAAACTTACCTAGGGACAAAGCCAGGGTAAATCGCTTGTACAAAATACAAACATTCACTAACTAATGCGGGATAGATAGAAAGATCTCTATTTTGCCAGATATGTATGTTTTTTGTCCGTAGGTACATATAAAGCGCGAATTATGGATAATAATAATAATTCAAACTGTTACACACAAACAAAAAATGAAATTCACTTTGAAATTTAAAAAAATATACCGATATATTATTATTTTTTATTCATTTAAAAAATTTCGGTTGCAATACAAGTTGCGTAGATGTCACGTTGCGTACATACAAACATACACCCAGTGCAAATATATCCTGTTTCTCAATATCAGTTAAAAAGAAATGAGTTGTTGTATCGCAAAAAAATGACTCGCAGCCATCATTTTAAATTATATATATATATATATATATATATATATATATATATATATATATATATATATATATATAAATATGTACAATAATTGAATTTGTACACCAATTATAAGAAAATACGATCACAGGTTAAATTGTTTGACGTAAAGTATTGAAGTTAAATTACATTACATATTTTATGTGACGGTCGGTGCGTTAATATACGGTTCGATAAACCTCCTCGTTAAAAATTTACAAGTATCAAATTACTGGCTTTGCTTGAAATGAAGAAAAATATATAAAGTTATCTTATATATATATATATATATATATATATATATAAGATAAATTTATATATTTATATATATATATATATATATTTATATATATATATATATTTATATATATATATATATATTGCTTTTTGAAATATCTAGAAAATACCTAATAGGAGAGGGATATTGTAGAATACGAACAGACAGTCATAACGTTAAATTACAAATCTAAGACCCTGGACATTTAATATTTAAAAAAGTAAAAAATTATAAATAAATCATGTTCGCCTAACCGATTTTGACTATGATGGCCAAATCCTAATCTCACTGAGATTAGCCAACTGCGCAGGAGATATTACAGTGTAGTTGCCGACCCTTTAAGAACCTATTTACTCCCCTTTTGAAGGACCCCATACTGTAGCCCTCTGGTAAAACCTGGGTAGGGAGTTCATTCCACAGCGAAATGGTCCGTGGGAGGAATATCAGAGGTGCGATATCCGGAATTTAAACCCGCTTCCCAAGGTGTTCCAAGTAAACGCGTTACCACTGGGCTATTACTGCCTTGAAGTATGTAAGTAAGTTTACATAAGTTTGTTTTGTATGGTAATCTCAGAAACAACAACTAAAAAGATGATACATTAGCATTGAGTACTATGGGCTAATTTTTGATTCGATGAAAACGTGTTCACAGTCAGAAATCATAATAATTTTAGTTGAAATTCGAAAAAATTGCTATTGATTTTAACAGCTATTGAGAGACGCCTAGGGCAAAATGAATGTAATTCCTTAGTTATAAAAATAAATAAATAAAATAATTTTGTACTAAGTCGCAAAAACACCATGAGAGTAGCGAAAGACAGTCACTAGTAAACAATACAAAATTGCCCCAATCCGGAACCAAACTTGTTATATTATTTTATCAAGGAACTCTAAAAATTATTCACCTAAGTAGAATCAGCGACATTAATATTTAACTAAAGGCCATATATATTGATCGGGAAATATCAACTGTCGACTGTTTTTTGATTCCTTTTTGCATTGAGACGAGATGAATGGACGACGACATATTTTTTACCGTATCAAAAGTCAACGAATCTATATTTAATTTAAATCAGAGTGCAATCACCGTGCTTCTGTGTTTTTGGTATTTCCTTTTCCTTGTTGTGCTCACACTTGTAGAGTATGGACTGAGCAAAACTCTCATGAAATTGACCACTCTCTAGAAAGTCCTGTACTTTAATTGTCCTGTATATTAATTCAATTTTAGTTTGTAAATGGGACTTTTTTGGATGTTTTAATACTTATTCTTCTACTCGAGGTGGGGACAAATCCAACATATCAAAGATCATAGAAATCGGTTAGGCCGTTCTTGAGTTAAAAATATTATTTTTTTTAACACACAGCACCATCTAGTTCCATGGTAAGCTACGAGGCTTGCGTTATGAATACCAGATAGTTGATACACTACACATATAACTTTACATATATACATATTATAAATATTAACACCCATGACTGGAGTACAAACATTCGTGGTCATCACACAAATGAATGCCCCCAGCGGGACTCGAATCCGCGACCACTGGCACAGCAAGTAGGGTGGGTCACTACAAACTGAGCCAAACGTATCGCAAAATTAAAGATCATAGTAATCGGCCCAGTCGTTCTTGAGTTATAAATGGTGTAACTAATCCGAATTTGTTTTATATATAATTATATAAAAACTAGCAACTCACCCACACCGCTTCGCCCCGGTTCGTCCCTAGTTTGATTCCCCATACGAATTTTCTTCCCCATTCTCACCCCCTTAAGGCATGATTACCGGGATAAAAAGTATCCTCTGTCCTTCCCAGGGTCTCAAACTATCATCTTATACAATTTCATCGAAATCGGTTTAGTACATCAAGAGATTACCCCCTACAACTTCACAAACTCACAAACTTTACCTCTTTATAATATTAGTATAGATAAACAAATAAAATTGCAAAAAAACCGAATCAGATGGTTATAGTAGGTATTCAGACTTTACAATCGATTATTTATAAGCTGTAAATTTAGTTCAGTGAATTTTATTACGAACAAACACAATTTCATTCAAGGCTCTTCATTATTTAGATATTTATTTCATTTCCGTATTTCAATACTATGTAATATATATACCTACTTAGTTGTGTTATTATAATTTAAATAAAAATGGATAAATGTGAGTAGAACTCATGCACCGAGAGTTTCGTAGGCAAGTACCTACAAGTATAGTCTAAAACGACATTTCATCACTACTATTATAAAGAGGAAAGGTTTCTTGTTTGTTTGTTTGTACCGAATAAGCTCCGAAACTATTGAACTGATTTACATGAGGTAAGGTGATAGTTTGAGATCTTGGGAAGGACATAGGATAGTTAATTTCTCGGAAATCATCCCTTAAGGTGGTGACAATTGGGATGAAATTTGTATAGGGAAGCATATCCATACTTACTAATATCGTAAATGTGTTTGTTTGTTTGTTTGTCTCTTCTTTCACGTCGAAACGGAGTGACAAATTGGCGTGATTTATTGTGTGGAGACAGTTAGGCTTTTACCGCGGGAGATTATCTCATTGCCACGAGAAAACATATTATAATACGACCCAAAAAATATGTTCAGAATTACTAGAAACTTGGTAAAAGCTCTTCAATAAAATTAAATAATTACGTGTTTTAGCATATTTTAAAGTTCATTAAGGGGGTAAAATAGGGGATGAAAGTTTGAATGAAACCTACCTATACCTTTAAAAGAATAAAATGCCGCGTCTATATATCTGACTGAACGTGATAAATTCAAAAACTACCGAATGAATTTTCATACGGTTACTCCAATAGATGAAGTAATTCAAATTCAAAATATTTTATTCAGAATTAAATTATTACAATTTTGTACTGAACGTCATGAGTCTACACCACTTCGGAAAGAAGCCTCAGACCTGAGAAGAACTGGCGAAAGAAACTCAGCGGGACTAATATTAACCCGTTATCTTTTTTTCTATGAGGAAAGTTTATTTTTATTGACTTTTATTACGATAGATACGATTAGAGATATCTATTGGCGTGTGTCGCGTAAATTAATGAAGTTATATGAAAACAATATATTACCGAATTATTTCTCATTAAAAGCTTTTCCTGTTAAACTGTAGCAACGCTATGTGCACGTACTCATAGCTAGACGAGGACGCACCCGAGTGAAGTCAGGGTAAGTCACTAGTGTTATTATAAATTCGATCAGAGCTGAAAATTGATACAGGTACCGCTACTGGCATAGGTGCAGCTATCGTGGTGGAGGATCTCATTAGCGTCCGGCCATCCAGCTAAGCATGAACCCAAAAAATTTACTTGGCAGATAGTCCACCGCGGTGCGCGTTGGATATGGGTATACTATATTTACTTCTGGTACTACGATAACAGATTCGATTGTATGAACAATCCCCTGGTTGTCGTGGAAAACAGCAGAAGATCTAGCTCGACAGGCCAAACGAGTCATCGAGGTTGAGTGAATAAGTAATCCTGGCTCATTAAGACGGGGGAGGTTCCGTAGGGTTTTAGTGAGTAGTACTGGCTTTTCTTGCCGTTGCATCTCAACATAACCAACTGTATGTATGCAGGTGATAGAAACATTAAAAAGGGGTTTCTCTTCTTGAGCAATTTGAAGTAAAAAATATATCATAAAATCGTCATGGGACTATGCTTTTGAATATGGATACAGATTATGATTTCTTTTTTTCTTATAAATGACTAGCGGCTTACCCTCGCTTCGCTCGGATTCGCCTCTAGGCAGTAGTTTTTGTGAACTAAGCTGTATAACTTACTATAGTTTCTTAACTATCCCACGGGAACTCTTTAATTTTCCGGGATAAAAAGTATCTAAAATGTTGACCGGGGATTTATGATACCACCATACAAAATTTCATTTAAATCTGTCCAACGGTCTCGGAGATTAGCCCGTACAAACAGACAGTGAAACAAAAAATTTACTAGAAGAAAAAAATTGGATTTGTTTTATTTCTCTTCTTACATCCCCCTGACTCGGTTTTTAGCATTTTTTTTCTATGTACAGACATTCAACCTCTACAGTTTTATTATTTGCATAGATTAGCCGTTAGATAAATAAAAATTATTCGAAAAGTTTTTAATATAAAAAAAAAATCGAAAATATTTATTTCTCAAATCTACTGCAATATAAAAGAAACAGAAGAGCGTCCTCCATTCCCCAGTTCTGGATACACTTTATTAAACCGTTTCATCTTTACATTTTTAATATTGTCCTCCATTAATTGAAAGTTTTGTTGTTCCTCCAATAGTTTCTGGAAGGTTGGCAGGATGTCGTTATACGCCATTTTGTTTTCGTCCATCAAATTGTCAAGTTTGACAGCTACGGCAGCACAAGATTCATGTGACAGCTAAAAAATAAGTTTTTATTGTATTTTTAACTGATTAATTATATTAAAAAAGTAACCCCCCATCCTCTACCATAAGAGTTTGATTAAAATAAGTTAAGCCATTTTTCTATCCCTCGGAAATCCTTCTTTTCGGGAAAGAAAAATGCCATCCTAGCCCGGTTCTGATATTGTATTTCTTTCCGGATATTAGGTATGAGCTACGAATAAATATTATTTATTCGTAGAGTATAAACAATTCAAACTAAAACATTCTAATTGTAAGCTTTATAAATCTTACTAATATTATAAATGTGAAAGGTTAGATAGATGTTTGGATGTTTGTTACTCAATTTCACCAGAACGGCTCAACGGATCTGGATGAAATTTGGCACAGAAATAGGCTATAATCTGGAATAGCACGCCGGCTACTTTTTATCCCGAAAAAATGTACAGTTCCTGTGGCATAGATTTATTTATTCATATAATAAGCAATAAGGCCTATTTCCTGAAATTCTTATTAAAGTTAAAAAGCGTGTTTAAATAAGTATGAAAAATAAACTTTCTGTAAGTGTTATCTTTATTCAAATAAAATATGAAACAAACTTTTGTAGCGATGTTTTTGAATTTTTCCAAATCTATAACGTTAATTTCTTTAGACTTTAACCATCCATAGTGATTTAGAGCACTCCTTTGTTGTTGTAGTTTCGCCTCTTTCATTAGCAGTTCGATCTGTAAATAAGCGCCTGATTATATTTGAAAGCAAATGATCAAAAAATGAAATTGCTATAATTTTTAACAGTGAAATTCCAATTAAGCGTCTGATATTTGTTAATAATAACGAAATAGGCATTGCGATATCTATACATATTATAAAATTGATATCAAGCCGAATCTGTACATTAGATATTTTTTGGAAAATCTTATTGAAATAAACATTATTATCGATACAGACGCCGAATCTATAGTTTTTAGAATTTTTGTCTGTCTGTCAGTCTGTGAACGCATCACGAGAAAACCACTGGACAAATTTTGGTGAAATTTGGTGTGATGATAGCTGGTTATCCGAGTCAACATATAGGTTACTTTTTACAGCGGGAAATCGTCTCATCTTTGAGAAATCTATACTAAACGTTAAAACGTGATCGGGGTTTCGCTAGTGTTTTTATAAGTAGATATGTATGCCGTATAAAACTACTTATGTGTAAAACTTTATAAAAAAAATAGCAACAAGTTTCATGTTTTGTATATATTTTAAGATAATAAGCAATCAATTCGCAATTTAATAATATTGGTTCATATTTAGGGTTCAGTAACACAAAAAGAAAAATAATTGTAATGTCTCACGCTACGGAACCTTCGGTGTGCGAATCAGATTCGCACTTGTCCGATTTTTTAATCATTGTTATAATTGTCAATAACAAATATATTCCTTTAAATATATCTACTTACATACTGTAATAAATCTGAAGAGGAAAATCCTTTATCAAATGCTAAAGATTTTTCGCCAAACACCATTTTAACGTCAACTTTTCTCAAAAAAATTATAGAAAATAGAAGCTTAACGATGGGTTCGAATCAATTTATACAGATAAATCATAAGTGTATGAATTAAATGAATACTTCGGCGTACTTTATCGCTCGTTGATAGATAAGGCCTTTTTAATTTCGATGTGGAATGCAAATATGAGAAAATATATCAATAACTTACATTTAGTAACTTTATTATATACTAGCGACTCACCCTCGCTTCGATCGGGTTCGTCCCTAGGTACATTTTGATTGTTTGAGCGGAACCCTAATTTTTTTACTGAAATAAAAGTTGCCTAAGTCACTTCTTATAATATCAGCTGTCTGCCAGTGAAAGTCCCGTCAAAATCGGCTCAGCCGTTTCGGAGATTAGCCGGAACAAACAGGCAAAAAATTTAGAAATCGTGTTTTTCTTATACAAATCAAATCACTAGTTTTTAAAATAAAACCATTATCATATTTCCCATTTTTATTATCAATAAAATAAACAATGGTGCAACATTAAAATAAATACGTACCTACTCTATCGCAGTGTATTAATATTAAATAACAAAAACTAAAATTTTCATCCATTTCCATACAAAATATGAACTATATAAGTTTAGTTAAGCTCAAACTAAATCTATTTATACATATAATAAAATTCTGAGTCAAATCTGTAGATTAAATATTTATTTGAAAATCTTATTGAAATAAACATTATTATCGATACAGAGGCCGGATCTATAGTTTTTAGAATTTTTGTCTGTCTGTCTGTTACCGCGTCACGGAAAAACCACTGGAGGGATTTTGATGAAATTTGGTATGATGATAGCTGGTTATCCGGGTCAACATATAGGATACTTTTTACTGCGGGGAAATATCTCTGAGAAATCTATACTAAACGTTAATAATAATAATAATATAATTAGATATTCGAGACGGTCATCTACAATTGTCATGTTACATGTTATATGTTTATACATATATATTATATATTATATTGTAACTAATCGCTGTCTGTATATGGAAGATATTTGAGAAAAACTATGATTTGGGGGTCTTCATAAACAATAGAACCAAAAAGAATGATTTTTTGAATTTTCGTCTGTTTGTCTATGTGTTTGTGCGTGCTAATCTAAGAAACGGCTTAATCGATTTGGGTGCGGTTTTCACGAATGTATTGTGCTAAGCTTCGCTAAGCTGTAATATTGCATTATTGCAATTAAAAAAAAATAACATGTTACTTTTTTGTATTACAGTTAAAATTGGGTAAAAAATAACTATATTCGTCAATTCTTAAATGTTTTCAAAGACGATCACGCGATAAAGAAAACGTTCAAACTAAAAATTTAAATTAATTCTTTATTTTAAAAATCAGTGGGCTAACTCAAAACGTTGAGTTTTTATTTTTTATCTCAATAATTTTCTTTATTCAATTTTAACTGTAATACAAAAAACTAACATGTTATTTTTTTTTAAATTGCAATAATGCAATATTACAGCTTAGCGAAGCTTAGCACAATACATTCGTGAAAACCGCACCCAAATCGATTAAGCCGTTTCTTAGATTAGCACGCACAAACACATAGACAAACAGACGAAAATTCTAAAAATCTTCTTTTTGGTTCTATTGTTTTAAAGACCCCCAAATAATAGTTTTTCTCAAATATCTTCCATATACAGACAGCGATTAGTTACAATTTTATATATGTATAAACATATAACATGTAACATGACAATTGTAGATGACCGTCTCGAATATCTAATTATAATATTATTATTAACGTTTAGTATAGATTTCTCAGAGATATTTTCCCGCAGTAAAAAGTATCCTATATGGTTGACCCGGATAGTAAATAATAACTTCATCATGTCGCTCTTAGGCTGTCGGTGTGCGCGAGCATCGAAAAAATTTTACTCTCATTATTTTTTCCAAACGTGCCAAAAGAAGTACATATAACTTCAAAAAATATTTCACCTTTATTTAAATCATACGCATATTCCCTATTGACCATCTCGAAAACCCCTTTAAAATAATAAAACCTTATCAAAATCAGTCTAACCGCCACTTAATTCACTGCACTTTCTCCTTCCCATATGGCCACATAGATAACGCTGGAATCAAACGCATAAGAAAACTCGGTCTAATAACATTCAATATAAAATGTAGGGAATAAAATCGAAACGCGCTAGCTTTAGTGATGTTCAACTCGAATTGTTTGAGCCCGTACACCGATGCGGCCGTCGCAAATATCGATATTATTAATGATCGATTTTTTGTGTAATGGCGATATCTGAAAAAAAATGTTACAATCAGTTTAGGCGTTCTTCTTATAATTTTATACTAGCGTATTAAGCACGTTTTAATTTTTATGAGCGGTACCCTAAATATTTTTCTAATATAAAGTAGCCTTATCACATCAGCTATTTGCCCGCGAAAGTTCCGTCAAAATCGGTCCAGCCGTTTCGGATACTAGCCGTAACAAACAGGCACACGAAAAATTAAAAAATTGTGGTTTTCTTATAAGTACCGTATATAATTTCATATGCATTTAGTAAAAAGCTCTTATGTTAAAGCTGTTAATAACAAGTTTTTAGTTGTAGCTAGGGACGCACTCGGGCAAAGCGCGGGTACGTCACTAGTATTAACTAAAAGACATTAAATCACTTACTTAGCTATTTCCGGGGACACGCATACAGCCCAACCTAACAGATTGGCAGTCCACCGCACCATACCGAACATGGGGGTCGTTGACACATGGATACTGTCTGGGTGGCGACACCATCGGAATGCCTAAAATAAATGTAAGCAAATAAAAAAATAATTAATACGATACACAACGGACGAACATACGTACGTGCATACATACATACCCCTATAAAATTTTATATAATAATTGTTTGAAAGCCATAATTTACACTACTATTATAAAGATGAAAGATTTGTATTTTTGTATGAAATTTGGTAATAAGATAGTTTGAGATGCTGGGAAGGACATAGGATAGTTTTTATCCCGTAAATTATCCGTCAAGGGGGTGAAAACGTGAATAAAAGTTTGTATGGGGAAGCAACCTAAGGACGAACCAGAGCTAAGCGAGTATAAGTTGCTAGAATTTCATATAAAACAGAAAAGAGAACAAAAAATTCAATATCTTACCAATTTCACGGTATAATGTGGGTCAACACCACACAATATTAGGCTATAGTAAGTGACAACACCAATCAATATGGCCGCTAGAGCACTTATGGTGTGCCAGACCACAACCGTCTTCTGCGGCATTGATGCATGGGGGCCGTACTGCCATATGAATGGGTCCGTCACATATATACAGAGGGCCGGTGACAGAAATAGACCTGTAATGTTGTAATAACATTCTTTTGATTACTTTCAATAAGCTATGCAAGGAATTTGTTGTATTTTAACAATTTCAGGGGAAATAATTTTAATTTAGTTATGTATGTTAATATAAGTGAAAAAAATCATAAATTTAAATAAATGACTGTTTCAATTTTATCAAAATAATATCACTTTATTTAATCTATTTATTTAAAATGTTCGTTTAGCTAATTAAATAATTAATTTAAAACAAGTTATTTATAATTCAAGTAAATCATTAATTATTACAATTAACTATTTAATGAAATTATTAATTAACTCAATTAATTCATTAAGTAATATACTCGTATATCTACCCAATAAAACACCCAAAAAGCACTGATGAGGAAAGTGTGTTGCAACAAACATTCTTGCTAGTATCACTGAACCGAGGGCAATAGCAAACATTGGGTATGTTATATATTTCCACCACCAGACATCCCACTTTCTACAATTAATTAATTAAATAAATTCAGTTAACAGAATTAAATAAATGTAACCAATTCAATTAAAGTAATAAATTGTATTTAATTATATTTAATTGGTATGTTAATGTTTCCACCACCAGGCATCCCACTCTCAACAATTATTAATTTAATTAAATTCCATGAATAGAATAAAGTAAATCCAATTGATTTAACCCATTCAATTATGCTTATAAATTATATTGAATTAATTTTATTAGTTTAGTTTCACACAAGTTTTGGAACACACATGTGGAACAAAGTTATTCTGTTACTGAGTGGCTACTACAAGCATTTATTCATTAATTGATATGAAATATATTTTTAATTTTTAATACCACATATATCTATACATATAATAAAAATGTAAATAAGCTGTAACTGCACATTAAATATTTTTTTGGAAAATCTTATTGAAATAGTAATTATTATACAGAGTCCAAATCTTTAGTTTTTAGAATTTTTGTGTCTGTCTATCTGTCTGTGACCCCATCACGGGAAAAGCAGTGGAGGAATTTTGACTAAATGTGGCATGATGATTGCTGGTTATCCGGATCAACATATATTAGATACTTTTACCGCAGGAAAATATCTCATCTCTGAGAAATCTATAATAAATGTTAAAACGTAAGTAGGGACGAACATGGGCAAAGCGAGGGTGAGTCGCTATTGTATACATATAACAAAATATTTAATGTGCTAGTATGACATACTACATTACAGTTTTATAATGAGTTTGAATATTTTTTAAATGTGTCACAATATAAATAAGCAAAAAATCAAGTAAATTCATATATCACATACCTGTCATTAAAGACATGAGATATCCACATAACAGCAAGTATAAGAACTGATGCCGCTGTTGATGAATGTCCAGAAGGGTTGCCAGGGCCTGTCATGCAGGTTTGAGTTGTTTGTAAAAGTTGCGGCTTATCTGTGTTGTAGTATGATGTTTCTTGCACCCACCAATATGGACGGTCTTCTAAGAGCCACCTGGTAATATTAAGAATTATAAAACACTAGCGATTCACCCCGACTTCACTTCAGGTTCATCCCTATAGAACAAATATATCCTACAGCAGAGAAACACACATTCCTCTGAGATAAAAAGTAACCTATAAGTATGTGCTAATCTAGACTATAATCTAAAAGAGCAACAAACATCCATTCTTCCATCTATCCTCACAAACTTTCACATTTATAATATTAGTATGGATTCTTATAAAACATACTAATAAAGTAGTGGCACCTACCATTAACATTATCAGAAAAGCTTAATTCATCCAGAATTTTTGTAAATCCTTCATTAGTGCTCCTTATGTTTTTAAAGAAACCAAGTGATATGTGCAAAATTAAATGTGTTTTAGTCCTAGTATATTCAATGCATTGTCTGTCAGAGACTTAGTGAATTAACAAAAGATATTTTACTAAGTCAATTATAACAAATAAAAAAAAATGAATATTTGACTGCTTTTTATTTCTTACCTTTTTTACATAGCTTTACAATAAGGTCCAACCTAGAGTTTAAGTGCGTAAATTGAGTCCACCCTACATTTACATTTTACACAGCTTTAATCTTAGTTCTTACTTCTTACTAATATTGTAAATGTGAAAGTTTAGATGTTTGGATGTTTGTTACTCAAACACACCAGAACTGCTAAACAGATCTGAATGAAATTTTACACAGGGACAGATTATAGTCTGGAATAGCACACACATTGTTTTTATCCCTGAAACTTATATGGTTCCTCTGGGATAATTTGTTTTTATTTTTCTAGAGGTAAACCCCAGGGAAGCGAGGATGAGGCGCTACTTTAAATATAATTTAAAATAACTTACCATTTCATAACAGAATTCATCCAACTTCCAAAAGCCAAAACAAGGAGTAATTGAGATGCAAATACTGAATCCACAATGGATATAAGGGGAAATAGGACTTCAAATATATTGTGAGGGTCAGAAAATTGGTTGACTGTTTCAAAATATTCTGCATAATCCTCAAACCTGGGAAATATGTGTGCATAATTATAAAATAAAATAAAAATATCTAATTTCTAAAATATTTAACGAGCTTTAGTTAGCTTTTATTAGTAAACATTAGTCATTGGTAAGTTATATAATATACTACATATTTCTATTTTGTTTTATGAGATAGTCCTAATTATTTTCATATGCATTGCGACAGTAAATCAATATTTACCAGTACTGCACGAGCTCGATGCATGACACACCTAAAGCGTATATCTGCTCCATATTTAATAAAGAATAGTACTAAGTATTTCAATTTTGTATAGCCATTATGGCTATAGGTAATTTTAAATAAGGAAATGAAATTATTGCTGTAATTTAAACCATACCAACGATCTATTCAAATGTGAACTGTCAGATATGTCATTTGTCAAAAAACAATTTGACTTTGACACGCAAGGGTACAACTTAAGAACATGAAAATATGAATAATAAAAAATCTAATTTTCATTAACTTATTGATTTAAAATATTCGTTTTTTATGTAAGTAGATTATTTTATTATTTTTCATTGTATAGGCACTAATATTTCATTGAATATTTTTAAACAAGATAAAAAGACAATTTCGTATAGTTTGACTACTCGTCAGTAGATAGAGTGGTGAGTTAAAAAAAAGTTTCCTCTATTGAATAACAGATGACGCTTGAAGCTAAAATAAAATTTAAAATAGACGTGGCCCCTTATTTAAATAATATGTATTAAACTGCTTTAATTAACTTTAACCATACTAAAGAAATATTAATTTTGCATTTAATATGTAGTATGACTATATTATTATTATAATCCATCCAGGTGTTGATAAATTTTTCAAACTAGAGTCTAATCAGATTTGGCAATTTTTTATAAATATTCTCGTTGCTATCTAAATTTGTATTCTTATATGGGGAACTATCGGTTTTATATTATAATTTCAATTTACCCATTTTCCATTGGATTATTCGTAAAAGTTCAAACAAAATTTCTTTTTTCAACTTAAAGATTATTCAGTTTACTTTGCTTTTCAATATGAAATGAAAATAACATGGTAAATATTTAAAAAAATATATAAATATTTTGAGAAATAATAAAAAAAATACTTTTACTTAATAAGCTTTTTATTTACAATAAAATAAAATTGAAGTAAAACTAACAATAAAGCCTCTATATGACATCTATTTTACAACAATAGTGTAAAGATGTAATGTTGGTGTGTTCGGACACAACCAAGCTCCGGAACAAATGGGTTTTGAGAAATTCGTTAAATCTTACAATAGGTGACAATTTTCCTGAGTGACATAAGTAGTTCTTATCCTGCTATATATAATATAGTAGCAGAACCCGCGGCTTCGCCCGCGCTAAAATTACAAAAAAACTTGAAAAAAGTAGGTTTCATACAAACTTTCATCCCCTATTTTACCCTCTTATGGGATGAATTTAGATAAATGCTAAAACACCTATTTATTTAACTGTATTGAAGAGCATTAATACCAAGTTTCAAGTAATTCTGATCATAAATATTTTTTTGAATTGTATTATAACATGTACTCCCGTAGGAAAGAGATAATCTCCCGCGGTAAAAAGTAGCCTATGTCACTCTCCAGTCCTCCAATCCTCAAAAAGTGATAGGAGGACAAACAAACACACTTTCACATTTATAATATTAAGTATGGATTGTACAGGTATTTAAATTATTATGCCTCATAATTAAACAGTATTAAGTTATTGGTAACATGCTCAAATCTAGAAAACCAAGTGAAGCAGGTGCTAAGTGGAAACTTTGGTTTAACACTAAGGTTTTCAAGCGAGAAAAAACATTGTGAGAAAACCCGCTTGTCTAAAAGAATCTAACTAGTGTTCAAAGTTTGACGACATGGCTCAATTTGTAGAGACTCTACTGGCTGTGCCAGCGGCCGCGGGTTCGAGTCCCGCTGGGTGCATCCGTTTGTGTGATCAGCACAAATGTTAGTACTCCAGTCATAGATGTTTATATTAATAATATGTATGTATTTAAAGTTATATATGTGTAGTGTATCAACTATCTGGTATCCATAACTCAAGCCTCGTAACTTACCATGGAACTAGACGGTGGTGTGTATTAATGTCCCAACATAAAAAAAAGTCATGTTAAGTCCATAAACCCGCATTAAGTCATCGTGATGGACTATGGCTATGGCCTTGCATTGCGAGGAGAAATGTCATAGCAGTAGGGCGTTAAAAGGGTTAAATATATTACTATATAGGTATTGCTCCTGGTACTTCTCTTATAGCAGAGTGGACCTTGGAGCGACCCCGTGGTTGTTGTGGTCTGCCGACTTCGGCAGACCAGCCGTCGGGGCGTCGTAGTTGAATGCGTAAACGATCCTGCGACGCCCCATTGAGACGGGGGAAGGCTTTGTTGGGTTTTTTAAATAAAACAATAAATATATATAACCTCATATTGTATTTTATATTTAAGTAATAATACTCATGTACATTGTGCTTACACTAACATTCATAATGATGAAAGATTAAAATCTATGAACACTTAATTACCAAAAAATATACAATTTATATTACACTTCCGATCGATAAAAATTTAAAAGAATTTGTCTTTTTTTTTTAAACTATTATTTACAAACTCGTGACCAGCTTGAAATGTAGGAAACAAACATTCGGTAGGTAAATTTTTAATTGAATAAATATTGCACTACATCGATATTATTATTTTTTTGTTTTTTTTATCTTAATTTCTTTTTTAATCTGTGCTTTCTAATTATCTACGGGTGTAATATTAATTTTAATGACATTCGAAACGAGAATATAAAGAATTCCTACGATTTGTTCCATTTTAAACATAGGCATAGAGAGTGCACTTAGTATTTCTTTGCCAGCCATCAGCTAGAAATGGCGGAAAAACGACAGAGACAAAACGAATGTGCGGCCAAAAGTCTTCTGTATTTATTGAAATACGATTAATGAAGATAGATATTTATAACCATTTTACATTCGATTATAATATTATATTTTTAATAATATTAATTTTTTTTCATATTCCACTTATAAATTTAAATTGGCATAAGAGAGAGGTATTGGCCGCATGTTCATTTTCTCTCTTTGTCAATTTTATGATACATATTGCTCAGTCCATTCTCTACGTGTATGATTTTAGGTAGGGTTTAGAATTCGTTTGTTTTCGAATATCATAAGATTTCTACCATAAATAAACATTAATGTTAATTAAACATTACGCGCTTTTATTTCTTAATAAAATAAATCAGAAAATATTTGTACATAATGGAATGAATAAAAATTTACAAAATGTCTTTTGTTTTTAAAAATAAAGTCTTATCCCATATTAAATATGTTTTTACAATTTTAAATGTAAATGCTACTTAAAAATACGTCTGTCTCTTTCACGTATTAACTTAACAATAACGTGTGAAAGAGACAACACCAAATTTAATGAAAACATTTTTTATTGAAGTATAATATTAATATTACTCTATTATATATTTAAAAGATACATTACGCAAAGTTCTTACTTATTTAATCATTAAATCTAAATTCAAATAAATTACCTAATAATTTTAAAAACTTATTTACATATACACAAAAAGATAATTTGACATGAATTGTTATTCCATGTCATAGCCAATAGTCAATTATACACAAAATGGCGGAAAAAAAATTAGACACGTCAAAAAATTGTTATTGCTGTTATTAACCTAGCACTTACTGTTAACTAATATTGTTCAATTTTGGCTATATTAAAACCGACATTTTGTATATAATTGGAATAATGTAGTGGATCATTAAAATATCCAACATAAATTCTTATTTATCAACATTTAAATTGAAATTTTGGTACGCGGGCCGCAGGTTGTTTCCAGCGTTTTCAGGGGATGGTGGCGTTGGGGGAATGTAGGGATAACGGGGGTAAGGCGGGTATGGGTAGGGATAGCCGGAGGGTAATAATTGAGGGTTATGGAAGGGTGGGAGGAGTGCAGGGGAGGGATATCCGTAGGGAAGACCCACGGATGATGCAGCGGCTTGGAGGATAGATGCCGCAAAGGCTGGATCGCTGTAAACTGCAGCGTAAGGCCAAGCGACGGCAATACGCTGGCGTTTATCCTTCATTCTACGGTTTTGGAACCATACCTGTTGACAAAAGTAAGTATTTGTTAATATATTATATAGTTCTAAGCATTATAATAATATAGGGATTGATTTTGTATAGTTTGAAAGTCAATAAAAATACATACACTACATAGCTAACATTTTTACACGTACAATGATTTAATTCCAAAATTAAAACGTTCCGTAATTTATGTCATATGTTAATTAAAAATAAATTAATAAAACGTATCCTACCACTATAAAGAACCCGAAAACACTATTAAAACTGGAATCAGACCAATAAACGGGTATCAATAAATACCTAATGCGTTATCACTCGGATTTATTTCGACGATCATCCGTACATTTACAGCTAAACTGTACTTCACACACCTTCGCTAATTAATTACGTATATACCTATATTATAATATATTATTATTATGGCGGAAAACTTTTATAAAAGTCCAATGTTTTTAGGTTAAAATTAACATTTATGTATATCTCTTAGAAATCAACGACAAAATATGTAAAGTTCCTATAATAAAACAGTAGCGTTGTAACTTGTACGTACCTACTTACAATTTTATAACTAAGGTGAATGTATAAAAAATTTGCAAATCATTATAACTAAACATTCAATCCTATAGTATGTAAAAAGATTTTCATTCTTTAAATTTAATTATTATAATCTTACGTAGGTATGTTTAAAAAACGGTATGTTGAAACAAAACAAACACACGGTAAGCTAAAACATCAAAAAGCAATTTTAAAATCATTAAAGCTGTTATGGACGTTAACAACGAAGTGCACAAGCAAATACCCTTTAGAACCTTTAAAAACACCTTTTGTGCGAATACTGAATGACGTGTTAATTGAAGAGAATTTTGTAGTAAAATTGCACACAAAATGGCGGACTTTCAGTTGCATCACAGACAATATTATTACTTTCTACTGTTTGTCGCCTAAGGTCTGATTATACACAGCCTTTCTTAATTTTTTATTGTTTTTTTAATACTATATAATGTTCATTAGGGCCTTTCAAAGCAGCTAAAGTTTTATATTTATACAATTTTTCGTGCATTTGTTGCTTTATAGCTCAATAAAAATTCATCACAATAAGTAAACACACGAAATATCCAAGTTTATAACGCATCAAATGGTAGCCGCGGTTTAATTTAATAGTTTTTAATTGGTATAATCGCACCATAAAACAGATGCCAAGCCATAGACAACCGATAAAGTTTTTTGTAACCTTGGCTAAGATGAACCTATATGAAAATACTACAGGATGTGGGTATCAATTATAGTAAGTAATATACCTATAGGTAATTTATGATTATAATATTCGTATTATAGATTTTATATTAACATTTAAAAAGGAAACTTATAATCGATCTGACATATTTTATACATATAAAAAAACTATTTTTTTAGAGAGTTTAAAACGAATAGTATTAATACACCTAAATTTAAAAAAAAATCACGATAGACAATATGTTTTCCTAAATAGACCTACCTATAGATATTCCATAATTAACATTACCATAAAAACAATACCAAAATTAAACAATCTCTATCACATAATAAAACATAAAAGAAAAAACGCATTCAATTCTATATCTCTATGGTTTACTAATGATAAGCCTTTTTATTTTTTTTTCTAATCTTTAGATCGTTCTTTTCGGCATTAATGTTCATTAGCGTCGTACGGCTACTGAATAATTCGGTCGGTTTCTTTTATTAATGCACATCAACAAATTAGCGTGAATGTAAAATTCGAATGAGCCATAAACACGTTTTTTTTTCACCGGTTTTCTTTTTTTAGTGGAAGTGATAATTGACATTATGACTGGACAGCCAGTGTTTACGAAGAATTTGAATTTAAATTGGCGTACGGTATTTGAACGTGGAATTAATTATGTTTATTGGACATAGTATAAAGATTTTTTATACGTTTAACACTAATAAAAAAAAATTTAAAAACAAATTTGTTTTATATATATTTAGTGTTAAAGTGAAAGATTTTTTTATTTGTCACAAATAGGTACTTAGGTAAACGTAAAAAAATAATAAAAAAAAATAAATTTCGTAATCGTGATAAGGCAACTAATTTAAAGTCACTTTACAAGTTCATATCGTGTTTCTGCGTATTAGCGAAACAGCATAAATTGTACGTGATGGAAATTATTGGGGGTCTAATTAAAGCATCATACAGTAGTCGTAAAACACTAAACAACGTTTAGGTAAATAGGACATTCAAAGGCACTGTGCACATTGTAGTAGACTAATATTTTAGATTTTAGATTTTCGTTATATAAGCTGCATAAATTCAAATTGATCCTAAAACACCTTTAAATTTTATTTTTTTATTACATATAAGCACTAATTTTTTTATTTTTTTAATTACCTACATGAAAAGACAAATAGTTATAAAAACATTACCAACTTATTTTATTTTAGATAGCACGCACTGACAAGATTGATAAAAGCGTACGCAACAAACATCGGTTATTCCCCGTACAAAGAGCCTGTTACGATTTTGACATGTTATGAAAGTGCCTTGATATTAATATGTCATCTTACGAAAACAGTCACTTAGGAATGATTCAGGTCACGATGTGGGTGGGTTGAGAAATAGTTACAAAATGTATGTATGTTCGCGTGGGCTTTTCAGCTAAACATTATGAAAAGTTACGAAAATTTAAAGAGTGTTTGATGAAACGATGTGGAATAATTATATAAGACCTTCGCTCAGCCACGTTTAAATTATAAACCAACATTACAGTACCAAAAATATTTTTTTACTATTATTCTATAATTAACTATGTACATAACTACGAGCACCAGCTACTAGGTATCGATACTTAAATATATCTGATAATTTTTGAGCTTTAACTGCTGATTTTCATTATATTGAGAGGGACTTACTAGATAAGCAAGATATTCGCAATAAAACAATTTTTGTAATAAGTGTCCCTTAATGGGATTCAAAAATAGAACAGTCGACCTATTAACGTATCGCAAATTAAAAATATGAACAATCTCTAGCGTTAACATCCACATATAAAAAATAACCAATTATTGTCAGTAAATTAGACTTTGCAGTGTTAAACACTAAATAAAAAAATACCTTAATAGTGGATTCCGGCAGTTGCAACTGTGCTGCAAGCTCACATCTTCGCGGCCGTGAAACATAATTTTCTTTCATAAACTCCTTTTCAAGACGGGCAAGTTGTTCCCGAGTGAATGCGGTGCGATACCGTCTAAACAAAAATTGATAGAACTTGTAAGTATTAATAAGCAAAATAGAAATAGTAAAAAAAATATTTATTGTTAGGTATATGTTGATTCTTACCTAATATTTGGATCAGGTGCCGAGTTTGCTGTGCTGATTGGTTCCGATTGAGGACTTAAGGATTCTGTGAACAAATATAGGTATACATTAGCTATGTAATTTATTAATTTAAAATAAATCTAATTCAATATTCCGGCACTTTTGACCCCATTCTAAGGAGTTATTAAGGTTCTAATAGTAGAGTATCTCTGAGTAACATATCCAAAAAGTATCTCCGTGTATTAAGAGTAACCTATAGGATATTTTAACAAAGGCTTACAGAAAACCTTACGGAAGGAAACAGAATGTATTGCAATAGTTTAGGAGCTAAGCGAAGTAAGATAGTACCTGCTGAATAAAATCTATACATATTTATAATAAAATTGTAACTAAGCCGAATCTGTAGGTATATTCAATATTTTTCGGAAAATCTTATTGAAAAAGACTTTATTATCGATACAGAGACCGAATCTATAGTTTTTAGAATTTTTGTCTGTCTGTCTGTCTGTTACAGCATCACAGAAAAACCACTGGAGGAATTTTGATGAAATTTGGTATGGTGATAGCTGGTTATCCGGGTCAACATATAGGATACTTTTTACCGCGGGAAAATATCTCATTTCTGATAAAAAATACAAAAACTGCAATGTATACTAATATGTAAAACCTAAGAATTTTGTTTTTGGTCATCTGAACGCGGGCGGAGCCGCGGGCAATGCTAGTTAGAAATATACCTATCTATTCAAATTAAATATACCTACATATTTTTAAATATAGATGAACATAATAAATTAATGATCAATAATTAACGGGCATATTGGTATTGAAGCAACCGACCAGCTCAAAGCATTGGTTCAATAATGACTTATCTTTTCGAAGGAGCTCTAAAGGGTTATAAGTAGTACTCAAAGCGGCAAGCTTTAATGTTATCTTAATTACTGTTTTGTCTAGACATCAGCTACTTGTTTAAACGCTTTTTATATACAAACAGACATACAATTACTGTGCCGGACTTATTACATTAGTTAACAAATTATTCATTTTTCAAAATTTTCCGAAAGTTTGGCGTAAATGATGCTTCTTTAAAAAAAATGTTTAAAGTAGGTACCTAATTATTAAATTTAATAAAATTTTGTATATATTAATTCTATAGTTGATTACTGAAAAAATGGATAAATGTAAAATTTTATAAATTAATACACCAATATCCTGTTGTTATTTTTAAGGTAAAATAGATAAAATAAACCTATTTATGAGACGTCAAAATATATGAAGTTATTTTGACCGGAAACAATCGAACGTCTTAATCACGCCGCCATTACGCCCATAGACAAGACTTGAAAGCTTCCACCAATGTCAATACACTGTTTTTAGAACCACTTCTAACTAATCAGAGATGTAAAGTCGGCATTTTTTCAAAATCAAGCTTTCGGTTCCTTTGTAATATACTTATATACGGTTCATGGGAAAATATTTAATTAGAAAATAGCTTATTTGTATTGGTTTTGTTAATGTACGTTTTGAAACTCAGGGCGCGCAATTAACACCTACCGCTACTGGTTCCTGACCGAGGATTTTATGATATATCAATTTTAAGTAATTAGTTGCATTGTTTCAGTTTTCAATAGTAAAACCTGATTATTTTTAATCATAATCATTATAATGATTATGATTAAAAATAATCAGGTTATTCGATACTTAGATAATAAGACACTACCTAATATGTATAGAACTGCCAAAAATAAATGTAATCTACACCTATTTTTGAAATCTAATAAACTGAATAAACAAACTATTTACATTATGTAAAAACATCTTCATCGCCATATATCGTCAATTAACATGTTGCGAATTTCACAAGCAAATGACTATCATTATAGAATATTTATTGTAAGTGTTTAAAACTGTTGATGTGAAGACGTTAAGACATCCTCAAGTTGCCAGATGCGCTAAGATAAAAATATGCGCCTCTCAATTAATTGGCTTAACAAAAAATATTATAAATTATCGTTCAAGTTTTTTGTAATATTATTAAAAAATAATAACATGTCGCACTCTTTTTTTATATTTAAGAGGTAGGTATCGTTTAAACAACGACGTTGACCCGACAATCAATTTCACTAATGGCGTCCCTACCACTTGACTGGTTCCCATGCTGGGTGGCGACAGAACACTTAAATAATTTGCAATAGTCTAGCCTAACTTCCTCTTAATATTATTTTTTACATAACCTCTTTACTTACAAACCGCTTTCCAGCTGCTTTGGCGTGTGTCTTTAAAAAAAACATGTCATAGACAAATTTGAATGCTTCCTGCATTAGCTTCCGTTCCATTTTTAAACGTATTTTTATATCTGGCGACATCTTTTATTGGGATGTCTTGTAACATTGAGTAAGTATTAAGTGCTATTTTTTATTTTAAACATTATGTTCAACTTGAGTAGTCTTTATATTTTGTTATGAGCCACTATTTATGCTGCATAAATAGAATAAAATAATAGAATATATCGATGAATAATGAAATAAAATTGTTCAATACACCCACCAAATATTACACTAGAAATAGTGTTTATGTAAATTTCGAAACCCCGTCGGAACGTCATTGTTTCAAAACACGCTAATTGAACAAACCAATGCAATGTGGAAGATATACTCGTAAATTTGAAAGATGTGACGACAACGTAATGAACAGTTATTGCCTTGGACATCGTTACTTCTGATTAAAAATCATTATATTTAATTAATTTATAATAGAGTATTTACAAGCAAAACTAGTAAGAATTTACAAAATAAAATTATAAGTAGGATATTTATGTATTATATATATTCATATTTTTATTCATATGTACGAACTTATACCGTGACCCGTTTCGCGAGTTATATAAAAATAAAACTTATGTTACATGAATAAAGGCCGCTATTGAATGAAGAAAATTCACCTTGAAACATCATTATATCGAAAAGTAACACTTAATTGAGAATAAAATTACGATTTGTTCCTATTATCACTTACGATAAAAACATCAATTTAAAAACGCGCTTTACTTGTTAGTAATAGAATTTGTGGGTCTGAACATTTTATTTAGGTAGGTATATTAAAATTCATCTGTTAAATGAAATATCAGTATAAATTATTCGCTAAAATTTATATTTTATATTGCAAGTCAAAATTAAGAATACTAAATTATTTATTTAGTCATCTTGATTATATGCATAAGCCGAAAAATCTGAAGAATTTCACGCACAATTATCTATTAAACCGATTACCTTTTCACTAAATGGTTAATTAATAGTGGCCTGACAATTTGGGGACCAAATAGCCCTTGTAATAGCCGTAAAGCGATCCATACATTAACAATAGGAATTATCGAGAATTGCCTTTGCCACCCCACGCCACGCGTCGGTTATTATTCTGTAGTCGCCATGTTTATTGTCTATTGCAATTGTGATTTGAAATTAGAACGCTTTTTGATATTGTTTTAGATAACGTTATATTTATGTATGGGTTAGCTATTATTGTTTCTTGATATAAAACTTGACTTCGAAAATTATTGTAGATATAAAGATGTAAAAAATATGTATAGTGATATATTTTTTAAAAGTAAATTAAATATAACTATTTTTAAGTACCTATAACTATTATTACGAAAGTAATTTGAAATTTTATCAGTATCACTGAATCTCTGCTATTTTTCATGTAGAAATATTTAGTAACAGTTTTTAAAAATTCATAACTAATCCAACTGCGTAAAATCAAGAGACTCCCAAAAGAATTAAACCAAATTAGGAAAGATGAAAGCAAAACATTTGCTGAACAATTATCCAATGTAGAGCCAATTACACGGTGTCATCCCTCGGCACGCTCCCCTAAACCAATTTTGATAATAAAATCCGAATCTAGTAGTCGGCAACAATGAAATGAAGATAAATATCTCCGTAGGGGATATACCATAAAAACGAAATCAGTTAAGGCCCAATTGACTTATGTCAAAGTCGACGTGTAATTAAAACTGTCAAATTGTGGCGATAGTCCACCCACGCTGACAGTTTTCTTTTTCTAAAGGTCATAGACAATTCGTGGCCCATTAGCTTTTGTCAACCAATTCGACAGCTGCGGTCAATTTGTGATTAATTTGATTTTAGCAAATGCTCTAAATTCTATGCAATTATCTCTAATTGTACCCTATATTGAATGTCTTGCTGAAATTAAATCATCCATAGATAAATATTGTTAATATACCCATCTATAAGTTTTTAAATCCTATAATTTGTGTGATTTACTAGATAAGTGCTCAGAAGTAAAATATAAATAGAATCTAGTTAGTTTTATAACTAATAATAATTTATGAAATGTTATTTGTTTTGTAGTATTTAAAAGATATTTTTTATATTGCGTTTTTAGCTTTAAAAGTAAAAAAGCACAAAGATCTAAGGGATGTGCTACACTTTACGGTTACCAACATAACGGTAAATATAACCTCTATAAATGTTATGACCGATACAAAAGATGGTACGGGACTAAAATGCTGTCGGTATTTCTCAAAGCTATTGTAAAAATCTCATAATTGCTTTATAACACAACTAAGTTCTAATTTCATATCGGTTTGTTTTTAGCATCTTTATTTTAACGTAATAAGGTTTAATATTAAAGTAATTTTTGAATGCAGTTTAAGAGTTACCTGCACGGATCTTTAGTTTGTTTGTATATTTTATGATAGATACAGTTTGTGCGGGCCCTTTTGAAAATGATATACCCGCAATTAGCAAAAACAGTTATGTGTTAATGGCATAATAAAAACTTAATGTTAGCAGATAATTCTATCTATTAAAATCAAATATAATTTAGTTCAAACAACTAAGCGTCTAACGTTAATTCAATCTGTAAATGTTTCTGAAAATACATAGGTACCTACATATTATATGCATTGTTAACACTTTTTGAAATATTATCAATTTTTTATGGCTTACCTTAACCTACCTAAAATACTGCAAGCAAAACTAAGTTGAGATTTGGATTACAAAATACAATATATACAAAATATAATTACAATAATAAGTTTAAGTAATAATAAAATTTTTAAAAATGGAAATATAAAAATAAAATAAATAATAATATTAAATACCTTTACGTTTAGGCGACGATGGTGGCGTATTATGAATAATATTATTGCACATGTGTCTTTTAGCCATCAAATCTACCGATAGCTCACGTAATTTATCCATCGAGTAATTCCCTAGCTCCATAGTAATTTAAAAAAAAAAGAAAGACAATAAAGGCACTGGCAGCGAACAGTTGCGTCCTGAAAAAGTGAACTGTCACTTTGTTTTTGTGAGTAACGCCTCGTAAGTACATACACACGCACACTAGTATGCAGTAGGTATTCTAGATTTTATTTTTAACGTGATAAGAACGGTAGTTGCTCACGTCAACACGCGGTTTAGTCTACTAAAAATCCATAATGCGTCAGCGAATAACGAAGCTCGTTTCTCTCCCCACCGATGAAGGCGGGGCCGAGATAATATACCCGTCCTTTTCACTCACGAGCTTTCATAAGCTTTACGTAAACAGTTAAAGCTCGTAGCATACTTAGCTTTTGTGCCTTTTTAGTCTTTTATTGGTAATATTTTTTCTCCTCTAGTTTTTAATTTTATTGTTCATCAAATTCAGAACCAGATCAAATTGTTCGATGCCTAATTTTATAGCAAATATAACGAATACAATAACAATTTACAACACGAAAATAATCACTAAATGTACATATTTACTTATTATTTAAAAACATTTTTTAATTTTATTTAACTTAGGATAGAAAAAATAATTAATCAAAGTGTGTTAAATAAATAATAATAAATAATAACCTATTAAACCCCCATCGAAGACGGTACTTATTTGAAACTGCTCAATGTGCAACAACCCTAACAATTTAATTCGCTTCATCTCGTTTAATCTCAGCATCATGGCACGTTATTACTCGGCCGGAGTTATTAATACGTTATAACACCTCTGATAAATCGCTTTATATACTGTAATGCTTTAAACCCTCATATGTAGATACTTATGCTTAGTTCCCGAAAACTTCGAAGCTTGATGTTATCGATATCTGATTTTGAAATTGTTTATGGGGTAGTTGTAGCTTGTTTAAATAATTTAAATAAAAGAATGTAACAATTCGTTATTCAAGATTTCAAGTGTATGTGTAACAGTATGTGAACTACAAAATTCTGTAATATGAAATGACTTAAAAATAGAACAGATGAGTAATTTAAAATAATTTAAAAGAATAAAATCACTTGTATATTTTGGAAGATAGAAAATACGATGTCTTATAATATTATGTTAAACAGAATTTCGTAGTAACTTGATAATATGGAAGCAATAAAAACCTTAATTTAAAATACGCTGAACGACAGCAATAAAAGAGAAATTTTTAACCAATTTCCTTTGTAAACGTGGCCACAATACGCCACTCCATAATTGAGCAAAGGACACAAAAAATAAGGAGGTATTTGTTTATCCGTATCTTTTGTCCATGATTTGATTGTTTTGGCGGTAAATTTGACAGACGTCACGCTGTCCCAAAATGGCGGGGTGGCATTATTGTAAACAATGTTGTTGAGACAAATTGCTACTGGAAGCGTTGACTTGTTTGAAATTAACGCGTGAATTTCTATTGTGCGATTTCCGAAGAACTAATACATTTAGGTTTGTTTAACTTAAATATTGACTTCAAAGGCTTCTTCTATTAGAGACTGTCAATGTATATAGTTAGTTCTCTTCCGACCTAGATTTAAAAGTTTTTAGATTTTTTGGTAGTTAAAACTAGCGACTTACCCTCGCTACACTCGGGTGCGTCGTTCCTCAATACGTTTTAACTTTTTTGAGCCGAATCCTAATTAGAAAACTAAATTAAAATAAAAGTAGCCAAAGTTACTACTTATAACATCAATTATCTAATTAGCCGGAACAAACATACAGACAGACAGACAAAAATAAAAAAAAAAAGTGTTTTTGTACCGTTTATATTTTCATATAAGTACCTACATTTAGTAAAAAGCTGTTTTTTTTAATAAATCCAATTTTATTTATCTGTATAGATTTTGGATTATATATCACCACAAGATTATCTATCTAGTAAAAACGTAAACAATTTTTTGTCGGCGATTTCACTTCACTCGCTTGATTTTATGAATAATTTCTCTCTTTTATTAGTAAAATAGTTTTAAAATCAATTATTATTTATATAAATATGCCAAATTTTGTAGATAAACCCGTGTGGAAAGAATAGTGTACGTTATTAAAATCATTTATAATAGATATCTATGTTATCTACCAATATTACTCTATGCCGAGAGATGAAAGCTTTAAAACGTACTAATTAAAACGTAAGTTGTAATGCAAAATACATTTTTATTTAACTGTAAATATTGTAAAATCAAATAAGTGAAAGATTAATAAAAGTTAAAAAAAACCACTCAAAAAACACGAATTAAAAAATATATCTAGGTATATAAATAAAAATGAATCACCGAAATGTACGTACACGCATAACTTCCGATCGACTGCACCGAATTGGATAATTCTTTTTTTGTGTTTGTTACTGTCAGGAAAAGCTTTGTATAGAAGAAAATTTAAAGATTTTTTTTTACTAAAATAAGTTTTTTTTTTTAAATTTCATGATATGAAAAGTGAGTGAGTGAAATAGTTTTTATCCCGTAAAACCTCCCTTAAGAGGGTAAGTAAGAATGGCGATGAAAGTTTGTATGGGGAAGCAAGATATGGGCGAACCCGAGCAAAGTGAGGGTGAAACGCTAGTTATAAAAATAAAAAATCCCGACCGCATTAAATCTAACTAAAAATATGAAAATAAGCTGACGAAGGAATAAAGTATTATGCAGTCGCATCGCAGGAGATTAAACCCTCCTTTGCGTCGCGCAATCTAGTAAAATGTTAAAATAGTTGACTGGTGGTTTTTATTTAATATAGATACGTAATCAGAACAGTTCAGATGGCATCGACTTCGAAAATATCTGATTAGGTATCTATAGTAAATGAAAACTACCAACCAATTATTTTTTACTTTTTAGTTTTTTTTTGAAGTTGGTTTTTTTAAGTTTCTATTTTTCCATTTTTAGTGTAGATATAGTAGAAGCAAAGTAAGAAGAAAGTATTTTAATAAAACATTCGCTTAAGCCATTTATGTTAGTTTGGTACCAATTTTTATATGAATACTGACAAACTAAAATTCGCTTGTGACACACAAAGCACACCGCCTTCAAAAATATCTGATTAGGTATCTACAGTAAATGAAAACTACAAATCAGTTATTTTTTTTACTTTTTAGTATATTTTTTTTGAAGTCGGTTTGTCTTTTTTTTATTAAAAAGATTTGATTTTTCCCTTCTTAGTGTAGAGATTGGTACTAGTAGCAAAGCAAGAAGAAAGTATTTTAATAAAACATTCGCTTAAGCCGTTTAAGTTAGTTTGATGCCAATTTTTATATGAAGACTGACAAACTAAAATTAGCTTTTATTAGTATGTAGTAAAATAAGCCCAAACGCAAAGTATCTACTATTAGTTGTTAAAGAATCACCCTTCTGGCCTTACCATCACATCAGTTTGATGATACCGAATCACTGCACTATCAACGGAAATACAAACACTTGCAAAGGTTCAAGTCAATATGACAATTAGAGTTAGATTAAATGGTCATTAGCTATTTTTCCACCCTTAGGGGTGATATTTTTTTTAATTTAAATGGGAACAATCTGGAAAAATACACTTTCGAACAAAACCAACATTGTCCAAATCGGTTAATAAATGACGGGAGTTCTAAGGTAACAAATATAAAAAAAACAGTCGAAATGAAAACCTCCTCCTTTTTTGCGGTTGAAAAACTTAAATAATAATGCTTGCCTTTATATAACATTATTATGGTCTCTTGTTTGGAGATACATTAATTTTTATTGTCCATATAAATGACTGAGTATGCCATCGCCGTCGGTTCGTTGGTCTACCATTAAGTATTTATCGCTACATTTTAAACTTTTACTAGGACCGAAATTAGTCTTTTAAGATTAATAAAACCTTTACATTCAAAGCTGGTTTCTTTCAAACTGATGTTTGAACATTGAGTACCTACGAAAAGAATGCAAATGCATATTTTATTACATTACCGTATATTGAAGAGTAGCCTTATACACTAAAATTTTGAATTTAGTTGTTTAGGTTCAAGAATGAACAAATAAATGATATTTGGAAAACCAAAACTTACCAAATGTCTTATACTAGCTGACCCAACATGCTTATCCTTTTTATTTCAATAAGTTTGGGATCTTTGAATTTATAAAAATCCTATGGAAGAAGCACATACTTTGGGACACTCTGAAATTCTTACCCTTAAAAACCATGTTTGGCCTATTAAGAACATTTTAAAAAACAAATTAGCTAAATCTGTGAAGCCCTTCGCAAGTGATGCTCTTACCAACAAAATGCCTTTAATGTATACTAGTAAATGGAGAGCCGATTTTTGTGTTCGGTTATACTGCGATAACTACTGAACTGATCGGAATAATACTCATACTATAACATGCAGCGTATTTCGGAGGAGGTTTTAGTATATGATATGTTGGTGATTGTCAGTCCGTCTGATTCTTCCGGCTAATCTCCGAAACGGCTGGACTAATTTTGACGAGACTTTCGCGAATAGCTGACGTAATAAAGAGTAACTTAGGCTACTTATTTTAGAAAAAGAATTAGGGTTTCACTCAAAAAAATAAAACCTAGTTATGGACGCACCCGAGCGAAGCTAGTTATAAATCTAAGAAAATATTATGCCTTTAATTTTACTGTAGATTGTACCTGTACATTATTTTAAATATATTCAAAAAACCAATTGAATATTTAACTTACCATGTGGCCTATCATCAGCACCATCGCTGTCAACTTCACTTCTGACACTACCAGGGCTGGCCCTCTTCAGATCTTCAGGCTGTCCATCTTGATAACCATTGCCCATTCTTTTATCATACGACATGAAAAACGGAAAATTCGGAACTCTATTCTGTTGGAAATAGTAGCCCATTTTTCCTTCTCTTATTTTTAACTCCTCGTCTTCTGAATGCTCATTGAAATCAGTAATTGTGTTTTCGATATCGATTTCAGGCGATCGACGATCATTTAGACCGACTATCGATTCAATCGAGAAGTTCTTTGGAGGTATTTTCGTTTGCATCTTGTTGATTTCCGATTCCATCACAGTTAATTTTCACTACACGCACTGGACACTCACACTGAGACTGTACGTCCGTATCTGACAGATCCCTGATGAGTTTTGTGGGATCTGTGAAGATTTAGAATAACCACGCCTTCTGGTGGGGGAGTTGACTAAAGAATGGTAATTTCAATACATATTGAACCTTATTGCTCTTGCTTTAGAGTATGGTTTTGATTGAATTGTTAATTGTATCTCTATAAAAGAAGATTATTGCAAAGGAATTTGAACTTTATTTTAAGTAAGGTAAAGTTAGATGTAAAGATTGCGTGGAAAAGCAATATAATTGCACGTAATCTGTTGCGGTTTCACGTAAAAAAGGTTTTCTTAGATCGTGATGAAACCTTTTTTGTTTCCAGCAAATGATTTATTAGATGAAATAAAATACTATTATATGTATTTTTCTGCCATTTTTGGTAATTTAAAAATTATTATTTTATTACTTGATACTTTGTGATGATAAAAGGAATAAAAATATCTTACTTTATACCAACTAAGTACTAAAATGAGTACCTACCCCTGTAATATTCTTTCCTATTACTTTCTTATAGCAACTAAAACATAACTAGTAACTACGTATCTCTCCGACTGCATAATACTATATTCATTTGTCAACTTATTTTCATCTTTTTAATTAGTTTTTATTGCAGTCGATTTTTTTTATTTTTTTTATTTTTTTACCTACTGTTTTTTTCTTTTTTGGCAATTAATCATTACAATATTTAGCAATTTTTTATCCTAAATTACTTTTAAACATACAAGTTGTATATTTTTGTGATCGCCTCTTAAAAACCTTTGTTTTGATACGCCACTCGATTGATTTCACGCAGAACAACACGAATGTTTCATCATAATCAGATAAATGAATAGGTAAGGGAAGCATAAAGTACCTACCTATGTACAAACATACAAAGAAGCATCCTTTTTTTATTTATATGGATGAATCAACATATCGTGTATGTTGTTTCATCATATTCTGCTTTTGACATAGACCCCTCATATAGCAGGCCACTGAGCTCGAATCAAATCAAATCAAAATGTAGCTTATTTTATAGTTATAAGTAGACTTTTACAAGCACATGTGAATTGTCACATTTACATTTTTAAAAACTTCATGTCAAAATCCGCGAGAAATCCACCACTGCCTCGGAAGGCAGTTTGAGCTTCAGCTCTACGCAACTAAAATGATAATAAATATTAGTATCTAATATACAAATAAACCTTTCCGAAGTATTTATCTATTAAATGGTTAAAATTTCATCAAAAGGCCCTAGCCTATATATGAGTGACTGTGTTGTTTTTTTTTTATTTAAAATTAAAAAAAATCGTCCAAGTGCGAGCCGGCTCGCGCACGAAGAGTTCCATACCATGACTATAAAAACGGCAAAAAATTACGTTTGTTGTATGGGAGCCTTCTTAAATATTTATTTTATTCTGTTTAATACTTTCTTAGATTTACGCGAATATTTGACATTTTAAATAAAACTATATTTTCGGATTTTGTCGCGGATTTATTTGCATTTTTGTTTCCCGACGTTTCGAATGCTTTACAGCAATCATGGTCACGGGAGAGACTGTCTCTCCCGTGACAAAATCCGAAAAGATAGTTTTATTCTGTTTTTTAGTAATTGTTACTATAGCGGCAACAGAAATACATCATCTGTGAAAATTTCAACTCCCTAACTGTGACGGTTCATGAGATATAGCCTGGTGACAGATGGACATACAGACAGACGGACGGACAGCGGAGTCTTAGTAATAGGGTCCCTTTTTATCCTTTGGGTACGGAACCCTAAAAATGATGACATTAAAAAAACTGGCAACCGGAAGTATTTTTGCTACCAGGAGCAGATTCCCTATTATGATCCGACTAGGCACTTTGTTGCCCCTAAGCGTGTATACATACGCTTGTATAGGATAATTTTAGTTGTACATATTAATGTGAAAACGACATAAAATGTACGTTTATATGTACATAATATGAGAATATCTATGTACATAAAGCCTGAGCGAAGCCAGGGCACGTGGCTAGTGTCGAATAAAAAAAGTATAGCTCTTAATTTACCACGTCGAGACGTCACCGATAATGTGTGGTCGGCTTAATAAACCCGTCACGGTCGCTATAAACGGAACTTTATTAAGTTCACTGACTGAGATTTATTGCATTCTTGATTTTAACTGTTCTTTTATATACAAATGCTGATTATATATATATATATATATATATATATATATATATATATGTGTGTGTATTGTACCTATTGTACGGATAATAAAATAGTTATTACTTAGGTCTCAAATAATTACCATGTACATATATATGTACGTATGTCTGTATCTGTACATATAATAAACAGTAACTTAGCGAAATCGATTTGCACGTTTCACGCAAAAAGTACTAAACAGATTTTAAGTAAATTTTGTCTAACGATAACTTGTTACTCGGGTCAACATTTAGGGCTTTTTAGCCTTTTTAGTTAGAAAATCTTTCATTTCCACGGGCAACAACATATTAAACTGGTTCTATAGAGTTCTTATCGTTCTTAGACATTTCTAACGCTGGCTGCACCTTAAGAGATATATCAAAACAATGTACCTACCTATAAAATTGTAATAATAAGGCCTACTGAAAAATCTGCTATAGCATAGGACTTTCTCCTAAGGTACACTCGCAATAACTATTCATATATATATATATATATATATATATATATATATATGTATATAAACGTAGATAGGGACGCACCCGAGCGAAGCAAGGGTAAGTTACTAGTAAATCATGACTGCATAATACTGTATTCCTTCGTCAACTTCTTTTCATCTTTTTAGTTAGCGTTTATGCAGTCGGGTTTTTTTTTAATTTTTGTATTTTTTTTATGTGGCTTATAGACGTGCCAGTTGGGCAGAGATTTAAAAAAGAGAATTCATAGCTTTAAAGTTAAAGCATTAGTACCATATCGTGGTAAGTGACAATAATACCCGTTAATCTTAAAGCAAAGACGGGAGCACCTCACCCGCGTCTCACCTCGATGCCCCGCAGAATTGTCCTATCTAGACGCCTTGGTTAGATGACAATATGAAATAGTAGAGTATATATAGTCTATATACAAATATTATAAAGAGAAAAGATTTTTTTTGTTTGTTTGTTTGTACCGAATAAGCTCCGAAACTATTGAATCGATTTAGATGAAAATTTGCAATACGCTAGGAAGGACATAGGACAGTTTTTATCCCCGAAATCGGAAATCATCCCTTAGAGGGATGAAAATGGGAATAAAAAAAATTGTATGGAAAAGCAACCTAGGGACGAACCCGAGTGAAGGAGGGCTATTCGGCTTTCGAATATATCTACATAACAGCTCTTACAAAATAACACTAAACACTACGACTAATTACAACATGAACCTACATACCACAAGAATCGAACCCACGCTCCTTTACATAAAGCGCACTCGCACTTGTTTTCATAACATTTTATATTTATAACACTATTAACATATAAGATAATAGTGTTCGATAAAAAAGAAAGTAATGTTTGAGTGAGCAATTTTTTTTCGCCATCGAAATATACTCGCATAATATAACTATAACAGAGTGAACATCCGCTTTAAGATAAGGGTAATAAATGATAAGCGTATTACGGAAGAAACTTTCTCATAGGGTGAGCATATCCGTGTTATTTTGTAGACAAATCGCCTTTTTAGGGTTCCGTAGGCAAAACGCTAAATCGGAACCGTCGTAAATTTCCAAATTTATCCGTTTGTCCTTTAATTTTTTACTTTTAATGAGTGTAACAAATTAGTATGTTAAAATGTAACATTTTAAAGTTTAATGTTACGGAACCCTTGGTTTGCGAGACAGACTTACACTTTATATTTTATTATTTATATTTCTGTAGCAAAATTTATTTGCTTTCATTTAAATGACAATTGTCAATCAACAAAAAACTAGTTTTTTTTCATACCTATACCTATGGATAAAATGTTCTTCTTAAATTATAAAATACTAGCGACTCACCCTTGCTTTGCTTCGGGTTTGTCCCTAGACAAAAACAAATCAATTCCACGGGAACCGTGCATTTTTCCAGAATGATATTATATAGCCTATAGCTTTCTTCAATAATCGGGTTATCTAAAGAAAATTTTTTTTTTCAAATCAGATTAGTCCTAATATTAGCGAGTTCAAACAAACAAAAAAACAAACAAACAAATTCTGCCCCTTTATAATATTAGTATAAAAAATTCTCTAGAAAATCCTTATTTAGCTACTTAAATGTGCTATTTTTCACGGCATTTCTATGACTTTTAAAGGCTTTCTCTCCGCGAATATTTTTACAGAAATATAGATTTTTATCAAAGGAAAAAAATATTACAAAAAAAATTACATGACATAAATACTCAAAGCCATAATCATGAAATGCTTTGCAGATATAAATATGTAAGACTAATTCTAGATAATATTCTCGTAGCATTAATCCGACCAATATTATAAACGCGAAAGTTTGTAAGAATGTATGTATGACTGTATGTATGTTTGTTACTCTTTCACGCAAAAACTACTGAATGGATTTTGATGAAACTTTACAATAGTATAGCTCATACACCAGAATAACACATAGACTACTTTTTATCCCGGACAAATGTAGGGTTCCCGTGGGATAGATTTGTTTTTGTTTTTCAATATAATATAAAAATACAAAATTATTAAATACCACATAGGTACCAGTTTTGAAAACAAATATTATTTTTAAAAGAGCAACTGTCGAGTTGAGACATACCTATATACATTTTGTAGCAAAGATGAAACATACATAGACTGTACAGTGTGCAATGTACATACCTACATATAGGTATTTTTAACTGTATAAGTACTGTTTCTTCTTTAAACTTGTTTTCATCTTTTTTTGTTTGTTTGTCCTTCTAACACGTGGAAACGGAATGACGGATTAGTGTGATTTTTTGTGTGGAGATATTTGGAGTGCT